AGAATTTGGGCTTCAAGATTAATGCGCTCGGGACAACAAATACCCGTGGAGCTCAGTACATTTCATGATCTGCACACAAAAAGGCGTTCGATTTGCTTTATATTTTACCTTATGTTGAAAGTATATGCATCTTCCTAATGTTCATTCCCAACACAACAGAATTGTAAAGTATCAGAATTCGGGAATTTATAATAATTCCACATCAACACGACAAACATGAACAATTTGTAAATAAATCAAATTATACGGAAACACATTTCACACACCAGATATGATGCCATGTAACAAAGATTGTCTATCATATCTAGGCGTCATTAATTATGCTTCATTAGTTACTTTCACATTCATCTTGTGCATAAAATTTAATTTATTTTTGAATGTATAAATAATGAAATGATAACAATGTCTAAAATTTCGGCTAAAAGAACCCTCTTTCTTTTTTTTAAAAAAATCTTTTCTTTTTTATTTATCATTCAAAAATATTTGCAGAAAATGTCTTCAGAATTTTAGCAGAGACAGTGATAGTTTCAGGAATACAGTTTATGAGAGAACATAACTGCTGATCTTTTGATTTCGCTTTAGTCATCAATATTTACCATTTCCTGGCGACTTCAAAAGGGGGGGGGGGCTAAAGGCTTCTTGTTCACCTCTGACAAAACAACCTCTGCTGTGTTCTACATGTGTCTAAGAGACCTCTCTTTGAATGGCACGGTCGGTTAAGCTCGGTCAAATATTTTTAATAATAGGGGAAGGGGGGGGGGTTAGGTTCGAACTTTAGTACCTAATTTTTTCTCCAAACACCAAAACTTTACCCATTTTTAGCCTATACTGCGAGGTGTCTGTGGAAAGTGGGGGGGGGGGCTTAACCTATGTGACAAGGTTCAATGTCTTTTCTAAGTATATATTGGAAAAAAAAAAGGGGAGCTAAGCTCCCCTAGCCCCCCCCCCCCCCCTGGTTCCGACGCCTATGATAAAGAAAGGAAGTGGCTACGATTTTTATGACATTTTAATGTCCGATGAGGAATTATTTTCCCAAAAAGTAAGACAAGAGTTTCCAAGGCAATTGAACACTCCATTATTTCAGATTGTTCATTAACATGTTCATAAACGTAAAAACTATAAGATATGTGAAAACTTGACTATGTAAACCATATATCAATATGACTGTACCTCGATCTATATTGAGAAATTCAATATATTTTAACTTCATGAAAAGATGTACACATTTGACTTTTATTTATACCCCCCCCCCCTCCCTACAAAAAAAAAACACGAAAATCCTGTTCATGTGACTTCCCGCTCTCAATTTTCACACAAATGCATAAAATAAAGGTAAAATAGTATATTTTATATCGATTAAAATGCAACCAAAAAATTTACGGTGTCTTTGAAATAAAAATTTCATGCTAAATTGACATAAAAATGATACTCAGCTTCAATTAGCTATTTTCAAACTGTTTTCCCGTGGGTATTTATTTCATCTTATTTTATTTTCTTTTTTATAATAACGTTGGTATTCTATAATGGCAGAGATATACAATTATGACTCGCTTATATACAGTACTTTCTAACTGTTAGGAGTAATTTATATTTCACGAGAAATGGACGCCATATATTTTCAGTAAAAAAACATAACACGGCGTTAGTCGTTTAATTTCTTTAAAATTTCACGTTTTGTGAATAGTGCACAAATTAGAAAATTAAGTATATGGAATACTTTAATGGGAAATAAAGACAAACGAAGTGTAGTTATTTGTTTTTAGAAATTATATTGAAAAATAATAACGCCATTGTGTCCTCTTTGTTACCCCAGCAGTGTTTGTTGTGTGATTTAAAACTTATTTGACAACCTTATGCATTAGGTTTGATAAAAATAAATCCACAAGATACTGATGTACAAGTAACAGTTACTGGCATAATGCGCCGTTGCTTTATTCTTTAGTTTTTATAGAAAGTTGCACGGAATACCCGATTTCGCGGATTCAACGATACCCTAATATCGAGTATTATACGCGATTTCAAGGATAATACCCGATTTCGAGTATTCTCTCCGACCTGTTCAATCAGACCGCTTACTGTTAATTATTAATTAAAGGATATAAACTAAGTTATAAGTTTTAGGAACTAATTAGAAAGGATTGGGTTATACTCCCGTATTTGTTAAGGGGACCACTATTTTATTCTGAAGGGGAGGGGCTGGCAGATTTTAGAAATAAATACTTGCAGATCAGTTATCTCCCCCTCCCACGAATCAGAGTTTTAAAATTTTTTTTATTTTGCATGTTAGACTTTTCAATGAAGGGGAAAATAAATAAATAATCTGTCCTTCATCTCGTTAATCGGAAATAAATATTAATCTGTACTTCATTGACATGAAAATAAAAAAAAAATCTGATTTGGAAAAACTCGCCTGCCCCCCCCCCCCTTTACCTCAGAATCAAATGGTGGTCCCCTTTCATATTTTGAATCAATTAGGGGGATAGCTAGTCTCCTGTTTTTTTTTAATATTATTGAAAAATAAATGAACACAATGCACATGCTGGAAATAAGATCTCCATGGATATTAGTACCCTCCACACAAAATAGCATGCAAGTTAAGATTTTCAAATCTTAATGGACTTTTCAACACCTGTACAGTAAATATATGAAAAAGTCAAATTATTATTTATCTAGAAAATTTATTAGATAAACATTCTTTACAAATCCAATGATAGACTGTAGGAATGCTGGGGATGTGCAAATTATTTCCAACACTTCATGTTCTTGTAGATAAAATGAATTCTGAAAATATGAGAAAATCAGGAAAATACCATTATTGAAAGTAATTTGTGTTTAAAAAATGAAATAAAAAAATGCGTTAAAACATTTAACATAGAATGCATATGCATGTTTTCAATTCTTCTGTTAGTTTTATTATCAAAACTTTGTATGGTTTATAGCTAATATTGAGCATACCATTTTCCTTAAATGATAGATTAACTTCGTGCCTGAATGAATCCATTAGTCCATGGGAATATCTATGCCTACAACACAATATAATATGGAGTTATATGCTATGAAATTATTAAATATACATTGTTGAATAAAATGGCATCAAATTTTACAAAAAAATATGCTAGATTGTATACTATCGTGAATTTATGTTATTCATATAAATGGGGAAAAAATGTGTTACAAAACTTCTCTGGGAAAGTGACATTTCTGACATTTACAATAGTTATTGATAGAATAATTTCTAAAAAAAAATTCTGAGTTTCTTCTTTACTAAAATGAAAAAAAAAAAACAAAATGTAAAGCATATGCAAACTTTAAAAATGCTTTATAAGTATACATACCCTGTGGAGAAATGATGCATATTTTATTTATTCATTCTTTAAGCCTGGAAATCTTGACAGCTACAATGATAAAAGTATTATATAAATATTTTAATGTACATGTAATCTAAACAAAAATGGATATTTTTTTTCATTAATTTAGAAATTCTAGAAAATTACAACCATAGATCTGAAGTAGGGCTTCTATGTTTTCAACACAATGAAACTGATATATTTTTTTTAATTGTGTATATTTGTACGTCAAAAGACATCATAGCTTGTATAGGCCTAGTCACTAGTGAATCATTGACTGAAACAATGAAAACATCTCATTTAATTTAGTTTAAATTTGTGTTACTGATGACCTCCATTATTACACATATTGTCTCAAAGAAAATGAGCTAATTGACAGGAAATCAGTACATATTTAGTGCAATTAATTTTTAATAATTCTAAAAAGTGTGCAACTTAGTATGGGGGGGGTATACACACAAGGTACTACATTACAGTTTTTCACTGACTGTGATAATACATTTAAATGAACATGAGCACACACTTTATGTCAACAAAAGCATGTCTACATATTGAAGATCTACACATGTACCTACATATGCGTATACGAGTACATACCTGGTCTGGAATTTCAGTGCAGTGATGGATCTACGGAGCTGGTGCAAATCGTCTCAGTTTTCTGCTATTTTCCGAAATAATGTCCTCATATTCTCGTAAAAGGAAGAAGTAATGCCTTGTCTCTTATGTTATCCCTATTTTCTTTAAAGATTGTGTGGTTATTGCATTTAAATCCACTGCAAATCTCAGCTGATGTCGCCACGTTTTTAGATGTAAACAACATTCCGTGTCACCGAGTGCAAGCGCTTGGCTGACAAACGACACATCAAAAAGATAATTATTTTAAAGACATTCTATTTTATATACGAGAAAATCACTAATTATTTTCTATTTCAACATGAAGATATTGCTGTTTATTACAAATTCTTGCAAATATTTTGAGCACCATTTCCTTATATGGATCAATCAGGGCGGAGCAACTGTCATGACGTCAGACCTCATTATGACTTCATTGCCATATTTTTTTCATGTGTTGCCTTAATTAACTGTACTGCGTACATTTTCAACAGTGAAATATTGTAATTTATCTATTGAATAAAAAATGATATCCTCTCACACTGTGAAAGGATATCAAAATGATATTCTGTCACAGTGTGACAGATATCAGAAGTGCGGTAAAACTCTCGATTTACCTTCCCATAACAAAGAGTGTTATAAAAAAATTCCTTGGACTGTTATATAGAGAGAGTAAATAAACCATTCTGACAGAGAATAAGACTGCCAAAATTCCCCCAAATATGTTGCTAAAATTTATTTTACTCGTGATACAGGCTTAGCACTCGTGAAAATATAAAAAAAAAAATCCTGTCCTACTGGTGAAATAAATTCCAAATTCAACTACAAAACCTTGAATATCCTCTATTTCTTTGGTTGTTAGTACGGGATTTAACGTCGAAGAAACATGAAAACGCAGAATTTATTTCTTAAATATCTAAAACCTGTAATCAAATACCTGATCGTACTATCAAACTTGTATAATTATGTTATTTTGCTGGTCTTCCAGCGGTGTTGTGCTACATGTTCCAATAATGAGTTATAAAAATTGTATTCACTCACAAAAGTTTGCTTGTTGGCTTTGCCCTTTGCATGCATTTACCACCAACAGAAACACCTACAAATAAGAAAGTGTTAGCATTACTTGAATGCCCATGCGTACAATTTTCTAAAATTAGTTTTCGAATTTCCGAAAATAGACAGCAATAAAACTGTGTAAATATGTAACAAAAATTAAATAAAATTCCTGCTGCTCATATTTAATTTAAAATGTTGTCAATACCGCTACGTAAAACCTTTCAGAAAACAGATAGTAACAAGCACATACATTTGAAACAATGTTTTGTTTTTTTTATTTATTGTTGTTGTTGTTGGTTGGTTTGTTTGTTTGTTAGTTTGTTTGTTTGTTTGTTTGTTTGCTTGTTTATTTTTTTTTCACACAAGTAAGCCTTTAAATAATACTCAATATGCAATGCATCACTATTCTGTCGCCGACATCGCTAACAAAAAATAAAATTGTCATACTTTAATTTTATTACCAAATCCAAGTGCAAAGAGCATAAAAGTAGTAATGAACGTTGAAAACACGGGAGGATTCCATGCCTTGTTGATACTTTTACCGCCATGATTAAATATGGGGTTAGACTAATACCAGGAAACGCTAATATTGCAAGGTTTTACTATACAAAGGAAAACATAATTAGTCTAGCCAATCTTTAAACGTAATTATTATCATAAATACAAGTCTATCTTCTGGATAATTACTTTTTATACTTGCAATTTTATTATTTTAACTAATTATTAAAACTAATTTAAAAAAAATATATACATGTATTAAATGAAAGGTGGGACTGGTATCAGTAAAATACCCATTCCATCGACTTTATAAAAAAATAAATAAATTCCCATTTTGTTTCAATAGTCTTATATAGTCCTGTATTGTTTAAAGTAAACAAAATGTTATTTTCCACTTTTTATAAAAGAAATTTCAATAACATTTTTGAATATTTTATGTAAGTAAATGTTTTTTTTTATTTTTGTAAAAGTCTGACAGAATTTAAATCTGAATAAGTTTTAACTTTCTATATTAATTTTATTAAAGTTCAAAATTTCGATTATAATCGATTAGTAATCGATTATGCCTAGCCGATTATTACCGATAATCGATTCTGATTATTTTCCGATTCCCCATCACTAGTTCTGGGTAGATCAGAGTAACAAAGAGAAATGCACTTACACTTTATATCAAGTTGTGCACCTCACCCTAAAGGCACCATTGACCCATGGGCCACATATTTCAAAATTTTGCAAATTTTATCATAAAATGGTTGATTAATACCAAAGAGAAGATTTCAAAGCATTAATTTATTTTCAGACTATGTAACCCCCGCCCCCTCTGACCCTGGCGGCATAAAAAAAAACATTCTGCTGGATGCACCTTTCTTCATCATAAATATATATATACTTGGATCATTGGCATAAAACCCAGAAGCAAAGGAAAATATTTTCAAAGAAATAAATGTATTTTAACTATAAAATCAATAGAGCCCCTCCCTAACACCAGAACCCCTAACCCTGGGGCCATAAAATTCACAAATCTGGAAGAGGCACTCTTGCTCATCATAACTACATGTATGTTCTTAGTTAGTTTATTTAATACACAGAAGCAGAGAAGAAGATTTTCAAGTAATAAATGCATTTTCACTATATAATCTATTAGAGCCCCGTCCTAACACCAGAACCCCTGACCCTGGGGCCATAAAATTCACAAATCTGGAAGAGGCACTCTTGCACATCATAACTATGTGCTTAGTTAGTTTATTCAATACGCAGGAGCAGAGAAGAAGATTTTCAAAGAAATAATGCATTTTCACTATATAATCTATAGAGCCCCGCCCTAACACCAGAACCCCTGACCCTGGGGCCATAAAATTCACAAATCTGGTAAAGGCACTCTTGCTCATCATAACTTTGTTCTTAGTTAGTTTATTTAATACCCAGGAGCAGAGAAGACGATTTTCAAAGAAATAATGCATTTTCACTATATAATCTATAGAGCCCCGCCCTAACACCAGAACCCCTGACCCTGGGGCCATAAAATTCACAAATCTGGAAGAGGCACTCTTGCACATCATAACTATGTTCTTAGTTAGTTTATTTAATACCCAGAAGCAGAGAAGATTTTCAAGTAATAAATGCATTTTCACTATTTAATCTATAGAGCCCCGCCCTAACACCAGAACCCCTGACCCTGGGGCCATAAAATTCACAAATCCTGAAGAGGCACTCTTGCACATCATAACTATGTTTTTAGTTAGTTTATTTAATATCCAGAAGCAGAGAATAAGATTTTTAAAGAAATAATGCATATGCACTATATAATCTATATAGCCCCTCCCTAACACTAGAACCCCTGACCCTGGGGACATAAAATTCACAAACCTGGAAGACGCACTCTTGCTCATCATAACTATGTGCCTAGTTTGTTTATTTAATACCCAATTGCAGATAAGAAGATTTTCAAAGAAATAATGCATTTTCACTATATAATCTATAGAGCCCCTCCCTAACACCAGAACCCCTGACCCTGGGGCCATAAAATTCTCAAATCTGGAAGAGGCACTCTTGCTCATCATAACTATATGTGTTTAGTTAATTTATTTAATACCAAGAAGCAGAGAAGAAGATTTTCAAAGAAATAATGCATTTTCACTATATAATCTACAGAGCCCCGCCCTAACACCAGAACCCCTGACCCTGGGGCCATAAAATTCACAAATCCTGAAGAAGCACTCTTGCACATCATAACTATGTGCTTAGTTAGTTAATTTAAAACCCAGGAGCATAGGAGAAGATTTTTAAAGAAATAATGCATTTTCAATATATGATCATTATAGCCTCACCCTAGCATTAGAACCCCTTACCCTGGGGCCATGAATTTCTCAATATTGGTAGAGGACTCAGTGCTCATTACATTCATGCCAACAGTTTTCCTGCTTGATGTCCAGGAGTAAAGAAGAAGATTTTTAAAGATTGCAATAATTTTAGTGGTTTTGGCCCCACCCCTCAGGCCCCAGGGGGGTGGGGACCATGACATTCACAATTTTTGTTCCCCTCCACCCATAGATGCTTTATACTAAATTTGGTTGAAATTGGTTCAGTGGTTTCAGAGAAGAAGCTGAAAATGTTCAAAAGTTAACACACGACACACGACGCACGACGGACGAAAACGGATAGCAATAGGTCACCTGAGTTACTCAGGTGACCTAACAATGTCACAAGGTGCTCTAAATCCTTAAAATCCGAGCAAGCTAAGGTGAATAATACAATTAAGGTTCTCCGATCCTCGGTCAGAAAATATAACTCTTTATTTATAATTTTATTTTAATAAGTAGCAAAATGAAGCCTAAAAATATATCTTTTTGTGCAACAATTTTCATTTTGTACCTCTCAATGTGGTACAAGGTTCTTTGAAGTTCTCAGAAAGGTCTTATAAGAAGTCTAAATTTTAAACCCATAAAAGTATTTTTCATCACATATCTAAAGAAATGTAGATTCATTTTAATTTAAACATAGACACTCAAGATTATTTACATAATAAGAAATAAGAAGTGAGTTATGGTGTTTTGCAATAACAGGAATTTTTTTATACACTATACATTGTAAAAACATTGAAGTAAATGAAAGAAATTAAAGAACCTTATATGTATGCTCACAGTCAATAGAAACGCAACATGCATCCTAATTTTAGGGTGAAAACTATATACGTGTTATAACTATGTACCGATAAAGTTAAGACATCTTTTACTTTGCCAAATCAATTATTTTACGGTTGAGTGAATTTCTTTCCATTACCGGAAGTTGCTTTTTACCCCTCTCGACAGAATTCAAAATTCTGCATTTTTAAATTAGGGTGATTGCATTTCTATTGACTGTGAGTATATGAAAATTGTACAATTTCTTCAAAAGCCTAGATACTTATAATTTTGGTCAGGAAAATGCTTAGTAGGTGTTTTTATTCTCTTTCCCTGAAATTCGATTTGCGATTTATTAGTTTCTTCTATATACTAGTGATATGATAAACCTGAAATATGAAGTTTGAAGAATTATCGTGGGTAAAAACAGGTTACTTTGAGAAGTCAGATACACTTTTGTGATCATTTTTCATAAAAAAAAAAGTGCTAGATTTTCAGAACGGAGTACCTAAAAGAAAACTGTGTATATTGCTTCTTTTTTTCTGTAAATTCCTCGATCCACATCTTTGCTGATATAAATATAACGGGGGCGGATCCAGGAATTGGAGTTAGGGGGGACATATAATTGGGCCGCCTTGAGGCCCCCCGTGTGAAGCTCTGGTGGGGGCCCAGGAGGCGAAGCCCCCGGAAGCTTCTGGATTCTATAGAGATTTCGTAGGGTCAAATGAGGTCTAGCGACTAGACATTTTTACATTTTCAAGACTATAAACTATGATTTGCGCTAATTTTGACAATTTTAGGGGGATGCCGGGTGCGCCCCTTCCCCCTTTAAATCTGCCACTGTACAATTATATAATTGTTTGATATACCATGTAATAGTGTATATCTATACCCGCGCGTAATCTGACCATTGTTAAAGAAATAGATGGCTATTTATGTTCCTTAGTTCTCAAATCAAACGATCAAATTTATATACAGTTTTATATATATCTTTGGACAAAAGCTGCATATTTCGTCCGCCTTCGCCTGCACCATAATGAAATTGTAACATAATATTAAAGATTTACTAACGCTAAAGCGACTCTAGTTCTCATGTGTACACTGTATGAATCCTTTGTAGTTTTTCTTTCAGATGTTCCGTTGTGTTAAATTCGCTCATTCTTCGATTAGTTTTTTTTTTTTTTTTACCTCTCTATATTATGAAATTGGACCAATTTCCAATCCTATTTTAATTAGTTATAGAGCTAACTAGAATTTTACTTCCGGATTTTAAACCAAGGTTACATTTAATACAGCATTTTTAAAATATCCGCAATGACCTAATCAATTTAATGCGTCAATGAACACAAGTAAAGTTTTCATCATATCCCTGGTATTCATAGACTGCAGTACACGTAACGATGAAAACAAACAAAGCTTTTTTTTCTTAATCTAAATATGGCCAATATTTTGTACATTTCACAAAATATTATCACCATGAACTTATCAAAAGTGAAAAGTGAAGATTGCTTTCATTTTGGACATATTTTTGCACTTATCTCCCTGTCTAATTTATCAAATTAATGTAACAGGACGAAAATCTAAACTACAAATTTGTAATTTTTTTTATATACTAGGCAGACTTTAAATGTTTTATAAAAATTTACAACTTCTATATTTTTTTAAGTAACTCACCAAGTAACTGCGCAGTAGCACCGCCATTTTGGGCAAGATTTTTTTTTTAAAAAGTATGGAAGACAATATGGACTTTGCCAATTGCAAGTCCTGTCCCAGATAAAACAGTAATCAGAGGAAAAAAATAATTTCAAATAGAAATGTGTACATTAGTTTTTCATTCTTATTTTTAATATTTATTTGTTTGTTTATTAATATTCATATCTGGTTATATTTTTATTTAAATACGATATAGAGTGTACATATAGATTTCCTCTTCGTTGTTTAATGTGGCTGTCCTTTTGCCTGTTATTCAAAGCTCTCTAATGATCGGTTCCAATGTCATTTACGCACAGTTTAGCTCACCTTAGCCGATCAAAATTTGTCCGTTTTCTGTCTTCGTTTCTGTCGTTGTCGTCGTCGTCGTTGTAAACTGTTCACATTTTCATCTTCTTCTCAAAAAACCTTTAGGCGAATTTTAACCAAACATGCCACAAAGTATTCTTGGATGAAGGGGATTCAAGTTTGTTCAAATAAAGGGTCATGCTCTCCTCTAGGGGAATATAATTATGAATGAGTTAAAAATTAATGGCATCATCTAAAAATCTTTCTCTCGAGAACCACTGGACCAGGAAATATGAAACTCGTGTGGAAGCATCCTCTAGTTGTGAAGACTCAGTTTTTTTCGAATAATGACCCCCCGGGAGAAGGATTGGGCTACAATGGGGGATTAAAGTTTAACAGATCATGTCTTTTTTTGTCACTTGTTAGGGGTAGCCCATAAACAGAATCTAATATCAATTTAATATAAGTATTTTGGTACTAGTTTCTATATAAATTGGTTTATATACAACATACACAAGATGTCTCCTGTTCTGTTAAAGAGTGAATGTATAAACTGATAATTTTTAGGGTCTTCTGTCTTGAATAGAAGAGGTTAATTTTACCCCATTGCTGATTTGTCACTTTACTAAGTAGGTCCTCTCGTCTTAATCGAAAGGCCCTTAATTATTTTAATAATCCATTTTCACTTTAATTATCATTATTAGTGCCTTCATTTTTCAGCAGAAAACCCTTCTATTTTTTCTATTGTTAATTTTTTTTTTAACTTTTTTAGAATCTTCTGTCTACAATAGTTTGTTTAAAAATTTTGAAGCAAAATAGATCATCTTTTCAATATGTAGTTAATAGTAATGAAACATGACGTTGGCATCATATATTATGCATTGAGAGGTTTTTAGGGGCCGGGTTTTCAAATCCTTTGTACCTATAATCCTTTTAAAATCCGAATCCTTTACCTATAATACTATTGAAAACCGAATCCTATACCTATAATCCTATAGAATCCGAATCCTATACCTCATATCTAAAAAAAATGAGGTAATTTGCAATCAGTAACTTGAATTAAGATATAAAAAGAAAACGTTAAAAAATGTTTTAACAGTATGTTTTATATCCTGCTAATACATGTATTAGTCCCAATTGATATTTCTTTTACATTCATCTCAAAACGGAAAAAAATGTTTTATTCAAAATAATTCAGTTTTCAGGTAATATAAAAAAGGGACCGACCCCTCAAACCAGGACCCAAGACGAGTTGCATATCTTTAATCTATAATTCTTAACATGTAATACATAGAGAATAATACATACCCTTTTCCATATCACATCCTGTATCAGCCCGAGACATCAATATCAGCCAGAGGGCTGAAGGACCGAGTTGTGATATTGGTCGAGGGCTGATACAGGATGTGATGTGGAAAAGGGTATGTTTTATTATATTTATTACATACTTAGTAATAAAATACAGAACACATTAAGTTGAGAAGAAAATAAATAATCATGCGCGGACTTCTTAAAATGCACACAGTCTATTGTCTCATACAGTTTCGGTTTTTTTTCTGTACTTCTATTTCAAGTGTCCCCAATCCGTAATTTGAAAATAATCTATTACATGTATTTGTAAATTAAGATTAGCCTTATTTTCAAAAAGTTAAAACAAAGAAAATATGAACCCACAAAAATTGTGTATGATCACAAGTACTGTTTTTGTGGTTTAATTTACTAATGGTGTGATATTGACGTCACAATAGACGTATCAGCCCTGCAGGGCTGATATGAATTTGCAGGGCTAATATAGGTTATCAGCCCCGCAAATCCATGTCAGCCCTGCAGGGCTGATACGGCTTTTGTGACGTCAGCCATATCGCATATGCAAAAAAACTGTATTTATTAATTAGTATGTACATGTAATAGATGTGATTAATATTATTTTACAAATCACTGAAGTAAAATTGTTTGTCTAAACAATTGATTATATCTATTTATTACATATTTAGTAATAAATACAGGATTTTTGCATATGCGATATGGCTGACCTCACAATAGCCGTATCAGCCCTGCAGGGCTGATATGGATTTGTAGGGCTGATACGGATCAATATCACACCATTAGTATATTGAACCTAAAAAAAACTGCATGTACTTGTGATCATACACAAATTTTGGGGATAACATAATTCTCTAATTTTTAACTTTTTGAATCTTATTGTCAATTAATAGATTATTTCTAAATTACGGATCGGGGACATTTGGAGTAGTACATGTAGAAAGAAACCCAAACAGTATGACAACAGACCCTGTACATGTAAGAAGTCTGTGCATGATAATTTACTTATTTTCTTCTCAACTTAATGTGTTCTGTATTTTATAACTAAGTATGTAATAAACATAATAAAACATACCCTTATCCACATTATCTCCTGTATCAGCCATCGAACAATATCATTTTTAAAAGTACCTGAAAACACATCCATGATAATAAGTTATATAAATGCTCTACCATTATCCAAAACATCATTTGTTGTACATGTTATGTCTCTACGATATATTTTTCAGCCAATATTTTGTTTCAAACCATGTGATTAATTTTTAAATGGTTTTTGGCTGCCCCCTTTCAACATATGTACATGCAAAATATAGCATTCAACAACCAACTCGTATATATCTAAATATATATAACTATAAGTACTGACACAATTTTAACTATTTGTAATTAGCATAGAATTGTTTTGTATAATTTTTACATAGTGAGCATATATTGTGTATATGAAAAAAATGATCATCAATTTGCTAATAAATGACCAATTTCGATTCTAATATGTGTTTGGGGTTGATTAATTATTAATAATTTCAACATTCTCCCCTAGATTTTAAAGTTATAAAATCACAATAGTTACAAGTAAAAATGACAAACAAAAACTGACTAAAATACTCAAAGTATTAAAATAGAACATGAACATGATACTCCAAATAACCAATGATTAAGGAGGGATTTAAAGATCAAACATATTTCCTCAATTACGTTTAGAATGCACCATTATGAATAAACGTGATTAAAGCTGCCACCTAGCTCTAGGGTGAAGTATGCAGTAAAACAACTGCTGCCACCTAGTGGTGTTCCAAGGGCAATAACAATTCAAGATTGCCAGAAATGCCTCTATTTCTATAAATGTAATTTTTTCAACTTTTTTCTTCAGAATGAGTCTGTTCCATTTGATTTTCAATTAATTTACCTCAAACACATATTAGAATCGAAATGGGTCATTGATTAGCAAAATCTAATTGCTACTCACAACAAAAATATGGGTCAACACGCTTCTTTTACAACGGTACGTTCAATATAATCATTACAATATACATTTATTTACTGGGTTCGAGGGCAACATGCGTTTTGTTGGACCCAAGAACCAAACTGTTGCCTGAGGCCGTTAGGCCGAAGGCAACAGTTTGGTTAGAGGGTCCAACAAAACGCATTTTGCCCGAGAAACCAGTCAATAAATGTTTTGTTATACCTTCACTTTTAATTATAACATTTAATAAATGAAAACAATTTATTTGCAACAAAACTTTATTTGAAACAGGTGCATGAGAAAAAAGAATCGTGGATATTCATAAAACAAAGTCAGTTTGTATATTTGTGAAAGAAAATGGTGCACTGGTTGAAGCTGCACGAATTAAAAGCTTGATTTTGAGCATTTTTCTCTTTTGGGGAATCGGATTTTGTTGGCAACATTTGTATTTCTAATAGATCTAGGTCGGTTAAATTCAATACAGATTCGGACGAAGTTGCCTGTTCGGTGAGAATTGTTTTCTCAGTATTAGCCACAGTCTGAGAAAGAATTTTTTTAGCCAAAGTGTTAAACATGCCGTGGAGTTTATTTTCACTGAGATGCGAAGAATAATGCTTTAGACTCGTCTCTGATTTATGTTTTGACGTTCCGATGATATGTCTACCCTCATAGCCGCCCTCGTCAAGTAAGGTAATACATGTGGCCCTGATGCAGTGATTAGTATAAACAAACGATAAGTTTGCAGCTTTACTTATTGTAGCCATGATACAGCCCAGTGTATTTCTTCCCACAACCATATTGTCATACCAAACTCCTGCTTGATCCGCCACATATTTTTAGGTTTCTGCCAGAGAAACTCACACGCTGGATTCAGCTTTGATATGTATTTCTCAAAACTGTTGACGGGGCATGCTGGATTACATATATAATTAAAATAGCACCAGTAAACTTGTTTTCTAATCAAAATTACTAGTGTATGAGTATATAAAGTCACATACATCTGTTTTTTTACATCAGTAAAACCGCCTCTAATTAATATGCATGAAATTTTAGTCCAAGTAGAAATAAACTTACCGCGTTTTTCGTACATTCTAGCGGCCGTATTATCCGGGTCTCCTACAGCTTCACGATGATTTTTAGTAAGCCTTGATACATTGGGTCCGACATATCGTTTCCCCTCCGTACGAATTTGGTAATCCATGGGCTTCATGTTGCGTAGTTTCTTCCTTCCTCGGTTGCAGAAAAACATCATTATTTCAAAAAATACTTTTTGTTGCAATGTTCTTGGTCTAGATGTATCAAATACATTTGATTCGTATGGTTTTTTTTTAATATCAGCGTCAGAAATAGGAGGTTTATGTTCTGTTTGCACACCTTCCTTTTTTAAAATCATTGTCATTTATGATATCCAACTTGT